GGACACTGACTGCTATTCAATCTATAGCGGTGAAAAAAGTTTTTTGTTTTTAAATGCAAGCTATTGTGACACCAGTGAGTGGTGGCACTGGGCACCGTATCCACTGTTAGCGTAACACACCCGCTTTAAGGACACTGACTGCTATTCAATCTATAACAGTGAAAAAAGTTTTTTGTTTTTAAATCCAAGCTATTGTGACACCAGATATAAGTGGTGGCACTGGGCACGTATCCACTGTTAGCGTAACACACCCGCTTTAAGGACACTGACTGCTATTCAATCTTTAACAGTGAAAAAAGTTTTTTGTTTTTAAATGCAAGCTATTATGACACCAGTGAGTGGAGTGGCATGGGCACCACGTATCCACTGTGAGCTTGCACTTTAAAGACACTCACTTTGCTATTATTCAATCTATAACAGAAATTGAAAAAAAGTTTTTGTTTTTAAATGCAAGCTATTGACACCAGTGAGTGGTGGCATGAGCTTACGTATCCACTGTGAGCTTAACACACTTTTAGGACACTGACTGCTACTGCTATTCAATCTATAACAGTGAAAAAAGTTTTGTTTTTAAATGCAAGCTATTGTGACACCAGATATGAGTGAGTGGTGGCACTGGGCACCGTATCCACTGTGAGCTTAACACACCCGCTTTAAGGACACTGACTGCTATTCAATCAATAACAGTGAAAAAAGTTTTTTGTTTTTAAATGCAAGCTATTGTGACACCAGATATGAGTTAGTGGTGGCACTGACTGGGCAAATGGGCACAGTATCCACTGTGAGCCAGACACAGAAGCTGGCAGCAGTGGCAGACAACTGACTGCTATTCAGTCTATAACAGTGAAAAAAGTTTTGGTTTTTTTAAATGCAAAAAATGCAATTTGTAGTTCTGCCTCACATTTTAGCTGTAAATGTCATAATACTGTTAAGTTTTACTGCAAAAAAAAATGCACATATTTGTAATCATGGATGTCTCACAAGTACAGCAGTACCCCCCATTAACAGGTTTTATGGTGTTTTGGAAAGTTACAGGGTCAAATATAGAACGTTCCATTTTCACATTGAAATTTGCCAGATTTGTAATGTTACCTTTGAGACGGTGTGGTAGCCCAGGAATGAGAATTACCCCCATAATGGCATACCATTTGAAAAAGTAGACAACCCAAGGTATTGAACGTGGGGTATGTTTAGTCTTTTTTAGTAGCCACTTAGTCACAAACACTGGCCAAAGTTAGCGTTCATATTTGTTTTTTGTGAAAAAAGCAAAAAACGAACATTTGGCCAGTGTTTGTGACTAAGTGGCTACTAAAAATGACTGGACATACTCCATTTGCAATACCTTGGGTTGTCTACTTTTGCAAATGGTATGCCATCATGGGGGTAATTCTCATTCCTGGGCTACCATACGCTCTCAAAGGCAACATAACCAATCAGGCATATTTCAATGTCAAAAAATTGAAATGCAAGCCTTATATGTGACACTCTAACTTTCCAAAACACCATAAAACCTGTACATGGGGGGTACTGTTATTCTCGTGAGACTTTGCTAAACACAAATATTAGTGTTTTAAAACAGTAAAACATATTACTACAATATATAGTCCATAAAAGTGCAGTTTGTTTGTTAAAAATGCAATAAACGTCACTTTTACTTAAAATATCATCATTGTAATACAATTTACCAGTTTGAAACACTAATATTTGAGTTCAGCGAAGTCTCCCGAGTAAAACAGTACCCCCTATGTACAGGTTTTATGGTGTCTTGGAGAGTTACAGGGTCAAATATAGTGCTTGCGAATTAAATTCTCTGCACTTTCTCCCTGTGTTGTCAGG